CCACTTTATTATCGCTTTCTGGCCCACGTGTGATAACGTCCATAGTAAGCCTGTTTCCACTGATGGCCATGTTGCCCTGTTTGTGGCCAGACAACAGAGCAGGGATGGACTGTGTCTACACAGCTATCTAATGCCTCCCTCTTTCTCCATTCTGTCATAAGATACTCATCCTGCGGAATGAATTACTTCCAACATTTGAAGCAAACTCTTTCCCCTCCGGTTCCGAATTTATTCCATGGAGAGATCTTTCTGGAGATCTTAAAAGCTTGCCCAAGGGCCCTTAAAACAATTATTGTTTGGCCCTGATAAAGGTCTTGCCTGCTTCTGGTTTTTTGGAATGGGTTAATACACTCTGAAATGAGGGACATGCTGTGTGAGGGTCACAGATTGTGGCACCTGGTTCTTTAAATTGGTTAGATCTGTGTTTCCTAAACTTTGGTCCTCCAGATGTTTTGGACTACAGCTCCCAGGATTCCTGATGGAATGCAAGTCCCAGCTAGCAAGGGCTTCTGAGAGTTGAAGTTCAGAATATCTGGAGGGCCAAAGTTTGGGAAACACTGGGGTAGATGGACCCAAAATCCATGGGCCTGAGGTTCAGCCTTCATGGTTTTCTTGACCGGGTGATATCCAGACATTAACAGTGGGTAACTTCTACTTCCATACTTCCTGACACTGTCAGTGAAAGCTGTATTTTCAACCCATTGTGCAAGAACTGAGGGAAGAGTGTTTTGTTGTGGGGGAAGTCTTCATTTATGCAATAATTTTACAGTCTGTTCTCAAGGATCAAAGCCCTCACAAAACAAGATTATTGTTGTGTTGCTGTGTGCCTTCAAGTTGTTTCCGGACTTATGGCGGCCCTAAAGCAAACCTGTCATGGGGTTTCTTGGAAAGATTTGTTCAGAGTGGGGTTTCCATTGCTTTCCTCTGAGGCTGAGAGAGTGCGACTTGCCCAAGGTCACCCAGTGGGTTTCCATAGCTGGGTAGGGATTTGAACACTGGTCTCCAGAGCTGTAGTCCAACACTCAAATGATTACATCACTTTGACTCTCACACTACTATGTGTTATATATGTGTGTGTGTGTATGTATGTACACAGTCACCCCTCCCAATTTGTGGGGATCTGTTCTGGATCTCCCCCCCCCCGGTGAAAATGGGAACTCGCAAATATTGTAGTCTCATTGAAAATAGTGGCATGCACCACCATTTTGTCCCTCCCACAAAGAGCGAGACCACAGACTCCAAATCTGCAAGCAGGGAGCGACAACTGTGTGTGTGTACACAAAGTACACACACACACTCACATACCTCAAAATACATAATCAAACCATAAATTCAATTCAAAAATCATGAAAATAACCAATGTTTGTTGTTGCTGTATGACTTCAAGTTGTTTTCGACTTCTGGTGACTCTAAGGCAACCCTATCCTGGGTTTTTATTGCCAAAATTTGTTCAGAGAAGGTTTGCCATTGCCTTTCCCTGAGGCTGAGAGTGTGTGACTTGCTCAAGGTTATCCAGTGACCATGTTAAAAGCACAATACAGTAAAAATAACCAAATACAGAATGTCGTAAATATGTTTATAAAATCCTAAAGGACATCAAAAACAGGGCTCTGCTTCCTTCTAGGTGAAGAAGGGTGCTCCATAGGTTTCGGGTGACGCCATAGAAGAGGCCCTGTCTTTGATACTTGCCAGTCTCATGGCTCATATTGATGGACCATTGAGATGGTCATCTTGAAGCTCAGGTGCACCCATAGCACATGAGTTATATCAACTTATCAACTTCCTCAGTAGGATCACCAACCTTATGGCTCCTCCTTTCTCTTCCAGCCTTGTCCCTGGCATGAAGATGGCTTTGCCCTGGACGAAGGTCCGACCTGCACTGCTCTCATTTCTCTTGCTGTTCCTTTGGCTTCCAAGCCCAAGTGCTTCCCAGCAAGAGCCCTGTCAGACCTGCAGGGCTCTTGCCAGCAACTTCCATAAGGTGAGAGGCTAGTAGGGATTTTGATTTGGGCTGGGGTGTGTTAACAATTGCCCGTGATGGTGATTTGCCAGCACTTAGCAAAGGGCACTAGTATCCAGCCCTATGCTTGGGGAACTGGGCTGAAGTAAGAGTCACTGAGAGATAGGCCTGGGTGGGGGAAGGCTGGGGTTTTATGAAGCATGTCTTGCAAGCATCAGGAGTTTGTGGGCTGCTGCATGCGGGTGTGGAGTTTCTGGGGATGGGTGGAAAAAACCAAAACCTTAGCTTTGGGTTTGCTGTGAGCCTTCTCCTGCCTTCCCAGGGTCTGGAGCGGACACAGCGAGAGAACTTCGGGGGCGGGAACACAGCCTGGGAAGAAGAGAAACTTGCAAAATATGCAAACAGGTGACCTGAGGTCTGGGCTGCGCCAGGTTGTGGGTGAGATGCTGCTACTGCAGAATGTGCTGGACTGGCGTCCTTGTTGAAGATGTCAACACCGAGATCCTGGTCTTGAAAGAGTTCAGGGAATGGTCACGTTCATCATGATGCCATTCATTGTACCCTAAACATTCAACCCCATACCTGCTGTCCTGGGAGTAAATTTTGTGTAGATGTGTACAGGATTACACAAGATGTGGAGTGGTGAAAACTCCCATTGGAGCTGTTTCCCTTCTTGTTTTAAAAGCAAGTTACTAGTTCTAAAGATTGTTTTGTTGTTATGTGCCTTCAAGTTGTTTCCGACTTATAGTGAACCTTTCATAGGGGTTTCTTGGCAATTTTTATTTGGAAGTTTGCCATTCTCTTCCTCTGAGGTTGAGAGCATATAACTCGCCCAAGATCACCCAGTGGGTTTCACACCCAAACTGGGATTCGAATCCTGGTCTCCAGAGTCCTAGTCCAACACTCAAACCACTATGCCATGCTGCATATTGGTCTAAATTTTATTTATTTATCTATTAGCTCCAGATAGAATAGATGAACTGCATCCGTTAGAACCAAGTGAGTCAACACGTCTAAGGATTCCATTTATCTACTTTAAAGCATCTACTTTGGTTGAAAATAACAATAGGATTTAGGTTATAAAAAACCCCTGCATTGTTTTGGTAATCTTTACATCAATATAATTATCCCTTTATTAAGGATGAGGAACTAAAGCAAACTGTAACTGGCTGGAGACTGCCTAGTAAGATTGTGGTAGAGATTCCCAGTTCATGTTTGTAGAAAGAAGACAGATGTAACACATGTTGAGCAATAGAGCCACATTGCATATCCAACCAAATATACCTATTCCCCTTTAGGACTGGCCTGGAAAAATGTAGATTATGCCAGTTTGGAACAGCAGGCAGCTGTGCAGATTGATTGGCATCAAGAATACATATACACATATACCTGATCTGATTTTGGCACATTATGTAGACATTTCCTTTTTATTATTATTAATAAAGATGATGAAAGGGTAGATAAAGGATAAATATTCATGCTGTATTTGCCCTACTGACAGTTGCCTTGAATCCCATTTTGGAAGAAGGGCAGGATATAAACCCAATAAATAAATAAATAAATTGCCAGCATGAGTGGCATGCCAGTATTGGATTTGCTTATATACCTGTCTTCTATTTTAATTATAAAAATGAGTTCACACTGTGGTTGAAGATGCCCTATGATTTAACTGCTTTCTGTTAATGTCAGCCTTCACCTTTATGGTACAGCAAATCAGTACTGAGATCCTTGTTTTCTGGAGAGGAAGAAAAACATTAAGGACTGGTTGCTTGATCAAAGAAAGCTCTGTTTATCTTGGTGGAGCTTAGAGAGAGAATATATGGGCCAACCCTAGATAGATTGCTGCTGGAGATGAAACCAGCTAGAACAGTAGTTGAATCTTGGTTCTGCTCTAACATTTTCTCCACCACACTGGAGGACAGTAAGCTAGCTTTAGGGGCTGTAGGACAGACTGGATCTAGTAGACCCTACAGCCCTTGTTTTCTAATATATCACTGCTGCTGCCTCTGCCCCATACCTAGTATCTACCTCCTGAGGCTGCTTCCTCACTATCTAATGGTAGAAACAGCCCTGATCATGCTCTCATGCATGGATAGAGAGAGGTATAAATGTTTGACTGGGGAGGTGGGGGAACAGAGAGCTGTTTTTGTTGAGGAGGCAGAGCAAACCTTGAATTTGGTAGAGATATTGCTTTGATCTCTGTCCTAGTGAATTGATGTTGGCTTCTTTCTCTCCTTGCAGCGAAACACGCCTGCTGGAGGTACTGGAGGGTGTGTGCGCCACATCAGACTTTGCCTGCCACCAGCTGTTGGAACAGAGTGAAGAACATGTGGAGCGTTGGTGGTTCCACGAGTGAGTGGAGAACAGCAAAGTTAGGATATCTCTTCACCTGTGATTAGAACTGCAGCAAAAGGCCAGGGATCTGTCATACTGTAAAGTTATAGTGCAATAATTCCTCTTTAACTGTCATAGTTCCACCTTTTGGAATCCTGGGATTGGCACTTTAGGGAGGCGTATTGAGAATTCTTAGCCATAAAGCTCAGGATTATAAATCCCAGGACTCTGTAGGATGCAACCATGGCACTTCAAGTGTCATTCCACTTGAACTGCCATGGCTACATCCTATGGAATTGTGTGGTGGGAAAGGGCCCCAGATAAATGATGAATAAGAGAGATGGAGCAATTCAGAAGCAAGGCTGTTACCCTTTCTAATTAAATCTAACATTTTACAACAGTATCAGTAGGCAGGGATATGAATGCAAGAAGTGGGGAAAGGGAAAAGAACTGATTCCCAACTCTTTCTCTCTCTCTCTCTCTCTGTGTGTGTGTGTGTGTACTCCTCTCATGTCCCTGTCACCATAATTATCTCTATTTATTTACTTACTTACTTACAAATATTGATAATCCATTTGGCTCAAATTTCAAAGCACTGCACAGCAATAATAATACAAACAGTAAACAATAAAAACACGGTATTTTCATAATTGTCCATTTTATGAACGTTGAACTAAACTGGGAAGGAGTGAAAAAATAAGTGTGTTCTCAGAGTAGGCTGAATATTTCATTGTATGTGTTCTCATGTATTGAGTTCAGCTTCTTGCTCTTTCTGGAACAATGGATGCAGGTGATGCAGGTTTTTGCTGAGCTGTATTGTTTCAGATTGTGTGTGTGTAGGGAGAGATATTGCCTATTTGCCCTTTGCTTGCTAGTTTTGTACATTCAGGGAGTTGGCCAACTTGTATGCCTAGTTCAATATTATCTCTTGTGGCTCTCCAGGGTCTCTGTGCTCTTTGAGACTTTTACTTGAAGAGACCGGGATTAAATGAGGGACCTCCTGTATATAGTGCCTGTGGTCTCCTATCACTTTTGAGACTAACAAATAGGTTGTAGCATACATTTTTGTAGATTTGATCTACTTCTTCAGATGCATGGGGTCTAACTCTATGTTGTAGACCAAATTTACAACAAGTCTGTGATATGGACCAAGTTTACAAAAGCTTATGTAGCAACCTATTTTGCTTAATGCTACAACATTGTTTGCATTCTGATATTCCAGACTAACATGGCTATGGCTGCATTTGCATTGCAGAAGTAATCGAGTTTAATATCACATTAACTGCCATGGCTCAATGCTGTGGATTCCTGGAATTTGTAGTTTATTGTGACACCAGAGCGCTCTGACAGAGAAGGCTAAATATCTCACAAAACTACAATTCCCAGCATTCCATAACATTGAGCCATGACAGTGATGCAGCCTATGCCTCTGAATTCTACTATCAATGTTATGGTCCCTCCCAAATAGATGAGAGTTGCTGACACAGCCCCAACAAAAGGCCTGTATTGTCAAAAGGACAGAGAGTTGATCAGGAGATCCAAGCTGTGGAAATCTGAAGGAAGATCCTGAAAAAGTGATGCAATTAAGGTAGAACAGAAAGGTAGTTGATCAAGGCCCTGTTGCTACAGAGGCCTGGAGGAGAGGAGACATGCCATTTTAAAATATGTCCTGGCATTTATAGCCATAGAACCTGGGGTGAGATGTTTTTTGGATTGCACCTTTGGGTGCATCTAACTGTAGAAATAATGCACCATTTTAACTGTCCAGACTCCATCCTACAAAATCCTGCAATTTGTAGTATTGTGAGGTTCCAGTACTTTTTGGCAGAGAAAGTAAAAGACCTTGTAAAACTACAGATCCCAGCATGCTGTCAGTTGGAGCTACAGCACTTAAAGTGGTCCCTTCTGTCTGTCTTTTCCAGCACAGCCAATGATAATGGGAGAGGCCCAACACCATTCCTGGAGTAAAAAGTATAGGCCTTGGGCTTAGGGAAAGCCATAGAAACAGGGTAGAGGAACAGGTGGCCCTCCAGATATTGTTCTACAACTCCCATCAGTTGCACCTAGCCTAGCCTATACTGAAGATTGGTAAGAGTTACAATCAGACAACATCTGGTGAGCTACAGGTTCCCCTTCCCTGCCAAAGACCATCCATTCCCAGCATGGGACACCTCAGAAGTTGATAGACTATGGGCTGATGCACATGACCCACAAGGGACGGCTCTGGGCTGCCTCTGGGAGCGGCGGATCGGGGCTGCGGCAACCACATGCCACGGCCCCAATCCTCCTTTTCACTGCCCCCAAAAGAGTGGGCAAATGCCACTCCTTTTGGGGGTGGCAAAAGGCTGCTGTTAGAACTGCCGTGGCAGTTCTTTTGTGTTGCTTTGGCGCAGCGTGTGCAGCCGGGCACGTGGGGTCGGAGTGGTGGCCATGTGGTTGCCCTGTTCCAACTCCATCCCCAGGCTGGCCCTTAAGGCTGGTCTGCATCCTCCCTGTGGTCCTCAATACAGTGGTACCTCTACTTACGAATGCTTCTACTAACGAAAAAT